CAAAATTTGAGATTCAAATATATTTTTTTAGAAAAAATAATATGAAAATAACAAATTCCAGGCGCATATGTACTAGAAGCCAAATTTTTAGATTTTTTTATCCTCTAGCGCAAATGCATCTAAAATTTTGTTTCTAGAGTTAATCGGGACAACAAAGGATCAGTGTAATACATACAAACAGGGACGGATCGAGGATAAATGTTAGGCGAGGAGGGCTAAGGGGGGCTTCATGGGGGGGGGGGGGGGGGCGCTAGAGCCCCGCCCGCTGGATCCATCCCTGCATACAAACAAACTTCACCAAGCTGGCTAACACACATTCTTCGGTTACTGCTCCGAAAAATATTCGGTGCAAACCCTCTACTCAATTGAACCGTGAAAATATTTTAGAAAAACATACTTATGAGTTTTCTCAAAATTTTTGAAACTATACACATCCATACTTATGACTTTATGAGCTTTTTTTGTGAGATACACGACGAAGTGTCCATTTGGTGCAGGGGAGGAGCAAACTCACTAGAAGCCCTCGTGGTTCAAAAGTTCGATGAGTAATTAGCTTTCTTGTTCTCAAGCCCGCCTTGTGGTCAACAGGTCGGGCTTGTTGCGCCTTTCGCACGTGTAAAACTTCGCTCTTCTTATTGAAAATACAAGCCGGCAATGTTCCAGGTCCTAAAAAACAGTAGTTCTTGACTCGCACGTGTGAACAGGAACAGGCCCATAGATTTTCGCCATTTTCTTCATTTTAAAATATGTTAGCCTATGGTATGGAGGCAATGTTCCAGGTCTTATAAAAAAGATATGTAGTTCTTTGATTCGATCTGTGTGGTTGCGGCAAGCGGTCATTTTTTGAAAAAACCTTCTACTTTTGAACAGGAACAGGCCCTCTAGATATTTTGCAAGAAAGCCATTTTCAGAACGGGCCCTCCGTTTTTCACCCGTTTTTATCACACCCTTCAGCCATTTTTGCGAAAAACCTCCTCGGATTTTTTTCTCAAATCAAGTGATCCAACTTTGATTATATCTTTTTTCCCAAAACATCTTATATAACCTGCTGATTACTAGAATATTTGGATGGAACAGGATGTAGGTACAGATAGCTCATTCCCAATAAATTCAGCCAGTCCCATTCAAAAAAAAAAATCAGCCAGTAGAGCTGACGTGAACTTGAGCATGTTAGAAAAAAAGATTATACATCATGTGGATACGGATCAAATGATCAATTCCGCGCGTACACTTGTTGAATAACATTTTTGGGATTCTGAAGGTACCCTTCTTGAAAAGGCGAAGATAGATGGCATTTCTGAAGCTGTCTCGTGTTATTTTACTTGCTTTTGCGTCAGCTTCAGAAACCTTCGTGAAAGTTCGGCTCATGGCATCTCATCCCATCACCTTCGCTTCAATCAGGTTGGGAAACGGTGGTGTGGTCTGTCCAATGCCACCCACGGTATCGGTATGCTGATCTCCACGCTGGCACATACCGTTCCCTTAGTGTTCGCCCACGATGAAAAGCTCCCTTCAACTAGTGGTTTCTGCAAGTATCACATATTCAGGTTTGGACACGGCCAATGCAGATTTACAGTAATCTGAGTTCATTTAAAAATAGTATGTCCAAATAAGAATGGAAATTTTTTGAAGCTATCATCTATCCAATAAAGGTATTATATTTTTATTATCTCCACAACTCTTTCTTTCCTCTTCGATATGTTGCCTTTTCTTTTACCATTTTCTCTCCTAAAACTGCTCTTAGGCCTGGTCTGCTAGACTGCGTCGTCGTAAAATTCCTTTTCAGGCAGGCTTTGGAAACCAAAAGTTGCAGGAGTTCGTGCTGCAGCGTCAGCTGGTTAGCCGTCAGAGCAGGGATGCCACCACCGCACCTTGCGATTGCATGGCGATGGCGGCGCATACGAAAACGAAAACAAAAACAAATGCGAGTTGGTTGATCAGATCAACAAATAGCAAAGCTAACTGCCTTACGCCATTACCAACCCCCTACCGGTTGGCCTCCAATCGTTATCTCCTCTCGTTCTTCATCGCCAGTGATTCAGTTCCATGTGTCTGTGGAAAGCTGACGATTTTATTGGCCCCGTTTCCTTCGCTGAAAAAACAAGTCGAAACACTGTTCCGGCTGATTTGTTGTGAGAGAAAAACACTGTTCCGGCTGAAAAAAATGTTTGAAAAGTACGGATTATAAGAAAAAGTGAACATAGCCATTGTTCCTTTATATTCTCTAAAGTCAACGACGACGCATTTACAAAATACTTTCAATCGACCGCGCAGAGCTTACTTACATGGTCTTCTCGACCAGAAGCCAGCTAAATAAGTAGAATATATCACGGTACGTCCAAAGTTTTGCAAAAGTTAATGATGAAGAACGTCGCATTTATAAAGATTAAGTAGAATGTGACGGTGCATAACTTTTGTAAAAATTAGGTAAAAAAGAGCTTTTTAACAAGTATGTTATGAAGAATTGAAGGACGAGGGAAACCAACAAATTGTTCTGGCACCCCGCAGCAACCTGGAAAATACCAAAGATTTTTTGTTCCTAGAAGGAAAATATTCTTACGGCTATTGCACCTGTTTTGACGCTAAAGCTCTATCAAAAATACACCCTTGGGTCGTCATTACTTAATGAGGCCTGTCCTTTCTAAAATCCCAAAAAGCGCTGCCAAGCACGATTAAGCTCGCGACAAATTCATCTCCTCTTTTAGTCCCCTATGCTAAGAACCGTTTTTATGCTTTAATTGCCATAATTAACAAAAACGTCGAAAAATACAGATCTAGGCTCTTTTGTCCCCACTACAGATTGTGGAAAACATGGTATAGATTGTGGATTATGGAAAATCTGGATTGTAAAAAGTCAGTGTTGTTTGGCATCCTAAATTATAGGAAGCTAGGATTTGTTGACCTTTGCTGCGCGATGGTTATAATACCCCGCATTATTGTTTGGGATTCAGTGCATAGAATGTACCTTCGATGCTTGTGAATGAGGGATGTTGTCGGTGCTCGAATGGATGATCCAACTCCTAGGGTTGGCGAGCAAGAGGAGAAATAGTAGGGGAAGGCAGTCACACTCGCACAAGTGAAGAAATAACAGGAGTTAGGTGGCAATATAATGGTGTAAACTATGAATGCCTCTTGATTTGTAATAGATCCTAGATGAAGGTTGCAAAGATGGGTAATGATGCTTAAGGACAATCCAGATTGGTTAGGTTAAACTAAGAGTGATCAAGGGAAGATCATTGATTTAGCTTAACTAATTTAGAGGGTGCTCACTGCTCGCACTCACAGGATAACCAACACATTTAGCATTACATTTTCATATTATTTTTGAAGGTTTTTGCTTGCTTCCACACCATGCCACTCGATCCAAGACATATGCATTGTTAGGACTCACCCAGTGGCAATAGACAACAACACTAACTAAAGATTTTCTCTTTATAGTACGTCCTCTATCTACAGTAACATTGCCCATTGTCTTCTCTAGACACCTTAGGCCAGTGAAAGCAAAAACATATTCATATATCTTTGCCTTGGGACTTTGCTTTCATCTCCATCACTTCATCTTCACATATTGAGCACTTGCGCATCCACGATCAACATCATCTTCATGACCATGGTCTTCATGTTGTTTAACATGCTTGTGAACTAAATCACCTATTCTACTTATATGAAACGCATTAGTCCACTAATGTTGTCACTCAATTACCAAAATTAAACCAATTCTTTCAATCTCTCAATTTTTGGTAATTGGTGACAACTCTAAAAGGTATAGAGACAATTAAAATTTCTAAGATCACACTACACACACACGTGTATTGCGATTAGAATTTGTGTTTTTTACCATAGTATGAAGATCATGGTATATGATTGATAAAATTCACAAAATTCAACTTACTAGCGACAACTTAACCTACATATATGGTTCGATTTCAAGTCATGCACATATGTATTAATGTGAAAACTGTGGGAAAGATCTACCTTCTAAGTGATGCTAAGGTCTACAGATTTAGAATGTACCTTTGTATAGTGTATACCACATGGAAAAAAACACTCTTAGCATCAACATTTGCTAGATACCACTTAGAATTTGGAAATAAACATAATAGAGCACAAATGAATCTAAACCCTATCTCCGGTTCTCATCACATTCAGGCAAGTTTATATGGTTCTAGCAAATCATCACACAAATATATTCGTTTAAACTTCTATGCAAACAATCATATAAGATGCACATCATGAATTTATAAACATCTAAATATTCATGAGAGTCCCTCTCTACTCATGTGCTTAATGTGTTCAAGATTTTTTATTCCTTCAATTCTTCAATCTTACGGTTTTTTTTCAATTCTTTCCTTGGCATAGCTTTATGATTTCTCGTGCCAACCTCTCTCCTCCGTAGTGAGTTCTTTGATGACAAATCACCTAATTATTTGACAAATCTCTCTCCTTGGCATAGCTTTTCAATTATTTGCTTAATGCGGTCGCTAAAGCCTAAAGGCGTGTAGGAGTACACGTGGATCCAAATCAAATCGATCTTTGCTGACAGCGAAAAGCTTCATTTGGCGTGGTGCTGAGCCTTTTAAACTTCTGAACTTGTCTTTTCCCCTGTACGATCCAAGTGCTTCGACGCCCGGCAGACCTCCTCTCGTGCCTCTTATCCTCCTCGGAAAAGAAGTGCTTTGAGCCTTCGATGCCTGATCGGACGGCCCAGGTCGCTAGTCTGGTCACGCGACTCACGAGGCCGCACGCTCGCGTCCTCTCGAAGGAATCGAGACGCCCACAAACCACAGCTCGCAACGCACACGACACGGGCACGCCGTTTTTCGGTTCCGCCCCTGGGAACCGCGGGATTTAGCGTGCACCACCCGGCCTTTTACCCCACGACCCCAGCCAACAAGCCCAACAAGACCCCCGGCTCGCCTCGATTCCACCCATCCACACCCCACCTCCCTCCGCCTCCGAGCACCACCAAACCCTAGATCTCGCACCGGCGGCAGCCAGCCATGTCGAAGCCCTGGGGTGGCGTCGGCGCGTGGGCGCTGGACGCCGAGCGCGCCGAGGAGGAGGAGCGCGAGCAGGCCCTGTCCTTCCCGGCGCCCGAGCCGCCCGCGGCCGCGGGCGGCGCCGCCAGCTTCCCGAGCCTCCGCGAGGCGGCCGCCGCGGCCGCCGGGGGCAAGTCGAAGAAGAACAAGAAGGGCACCACGCTGTCGCTGTCCGAGTTCACCACCTACGGCGCGGCCGCGGCCCAGCGGCGCGCGGCGCCCGTCGAGCCCAAGGGCCTGACCCACCAGGAGATGATGATGCTGCCCACGGGGCCCCGGGAGCGCTCGGCCGAGGAGCTGGACCGCTCCCGCGGGTTCCGCTCCTACGGCGGCGGCGGCTTCGGCGGCCCCGGGGGAGGCGCCGGAGGGGAGCGCCGCGGCGGCTTCGACGACGAGGACCGCCGCGGGCCGGGCAGAAGCTCGGATCTTGACATGCCCTCCCGCGCCGACGAGGCTGACGACTGGGGCGCCACTAAGAAGTTCACCCCGGCTCCCGCCGACTCTGGCCGCCGTGATAGGTTCGGCGGGCCTTCCCCTCTCGGCCGTGCTGATGACATTGACGACTGGTCGCGCGACAAGAAGCCGCTCCCGTCGCGCTACCCCAGCCTCGGTTCTGGAGGTGGCTTCCGCGACTCGCCGGGCTTCCGCGACTCATCAGCTGCTTCTGATTCTGACCGTTGGGTCCGTGGAGCCACCCCGATGCCACACAACGGCCAGGGGGCGGGGGAGAGGCCGCGCATCGTCCTCAATCCTCCTAAACGTGACCCGACAGCAGCTGCCTCCACCCCACCTGCTGAGGTGGCCCGCAACCGCCCAAGCCCGTTTGGGGCTGCAAGGCCCCGGGAGGATGTGCTGGCCGAGAAGGGGGTGGACTGGAGGAAGTTTGAGAATGAGATTGAGCAGAAGACCAGCCGGCCTAACAGCTCGCACTCCAGCAGGCCGAATAGCGCTCATTCCTCCCACCCGGGGAGCCCTGGGTCGCAGGTTTCTGCCGTTGGGAGTGAAGGAGCTCCGAGGGCACGGCCAAAGGTTAACCCATTTGGTGATGCCAAGCCAAGAGAATTGGTGTTGCAGGAAAAAGGGAAAGATTGGAGGAAGATTGATCTTGAGCTCGAGCATCGTGCTATAAATAGGTATGATGTCCGTGGAATTACCACTTGATTATGCATAGAATTTCTGTTACTTGTGGCAATGCAATGCTGAGTACTGGCATAAGTTAGAAAGCTACAACCTCACTCAACCTCGATTTTGTAATGGAAGCACTTGCTTATGGCATATCTTTTATCTGTTGTATCATACAAGTTCGCTTTGCTAAAACTGAACACCACTACTGATATGTTCCAATCACAAGTGACTAAGTGAGTCATGTTTTGTTGTAGCACCCTGGTGCTTAGTACATCCATGCATAATCTTGACATGCCTACACACTGGTATCACATGCATTTGTTCTCACTCCATGTAAGTGGGTCAACACTAAGGTACTATGTTTGCACTGAGGCATTATGTGATAGCATGCTACCACCACCACAGCTCACCATATGGCCATCAGCAATACACTGGGTTTGTCATGCCTGAGGTGTTGGATATTGATGTGTGACCCTTGATCGTATAATGTCATCCTTACTCATAATTATTTGAACATCGTGCAGTTAATCAATGCTTATTTTAGTGAAATTTATTCTTGATATACTTGTCATAATGTAGCATCCTTGTTAGTAAATCATTAATCATGTGTGTTGTTAAGGTCATGGTCATGGACCTGCAGCAATAGCAAATGAAGCAAATGTTTGAAATGATATCTGGTGTGACATTTTTGGTGGGATTGTAGTGGTATATTGGTAAAGTTGTATTTCTATCACTTGGAGTTTTTGTTTACATCACTCGCTGCCGTATAATTTCCTTGTCCTGAATAAGAATTAGAACAAAACAACTCTAAATAGATTTTTAGATGATTGAACAAACCCAAGCACCCCATCCTCTACATCAACAGCTCTGCCTTGCTAATCTGGTAGCACTTTACGGGCTGTTCGGCTGATGATTTCTGCGGCTGATGCTGTTTTGTTGTGAGAGAAAAACAATGTACCATGGCTGATAAGCCGGGCTGATAAGTTCAAGCGAACAGGGCTGATAATGTTTATGTTATTTATTTGCCTCTGGTTAAGTGTGATATGTGAAGCGCATTAACTATAGTTAAAAAGTGCATGTTGTGATCTTTGTTGATGGTTTGGTTACCATTGGTGGGGTTTATTTTAATTTATCTGACTACAAATTAAAATTTAGTATTTTTTTTTGTTTTAATATGCTGACACACTCAAGTGAACTTGTGCACATAATATCCATCAGAAGATGTTTGTATAATTTTATATTTGACACTGTTGCCACGAGTACATCTCTTTTCAGTTGTCAGTTGGAGCTTTTCTTTCTACATACACTTAGGTCCTGTTTGGGTTGCCTGGATCCTAGCACATTTCATGTGAATTTGTGCAGATTTGAGGCATCTAAACAAGCATTAAAATTTTGTATATCTGATTTTTATAGTTTCTACTAGCAGACCTTCAGGCTGCTGAAATTTCTTCAATGTAAAGGTTCTGTTTTCTACTTTTGTTCCACATTGATATGGCAATATGTTCCTGTGTCCCACTCAAAAAACACACCTGCATTTTCTTCTGTGATTTTGTATAATTGGGATTCCAAACAATGGTGCTATATGTCTTCTTGAACTCTTATAACTTACTGATGATCGTGGGATCGCCTCTGGTTTTATCTTCTATTATATTATGCTAAGGCTTGATGTCTGAAACTGCTGATTATTAAACCACTTTCAACACACCTAAGTTTGGGATAAATTACGTGATGTTAGGGTAAATGAATTTTCTTTTATTCCACCCTTTCGCTGTCAGTGGTTAAATGATTCTCAACATGATCTGATACCAACAAATTTTATTTGGGAAAATAACATTTTTTTGTTCATCTAATTGAGCTTCAGTATTTTTTAGGGCAATTCAGTTTCAGTATCTTTTTCAATCCTCCCTGAACTGTTAAGAATTTGAAGTAAATTAACTACTTTGGTACTTTATATCCTGTCAAAATTGATTCCTTTTCTTTGAAAATCCTTCCATTTAGTTTCTGGGGACGTATTACCATGTGATTTGAATATTCATGCACCAAACCTTTCAGGCCAGAGTCTGATGAAGAAAGAAATTTGAAAGAAGAAATCAACCTTCTGAAGGTGGATCTTAAAGAAATTGAGGGAAAGATGAGTAATGGTTCTGACCAGACATCGGTAGATGCAAAAGATTTGTCTGAGAAGATATCCCAGTTGGAAAGCCAGCTTGAGCAGCTTTCAAGGGAGTTGGATGACAAGATTCGATTTGGGCAAAGGCCACGTTCTGGTGCAGGCAGGGTTACAACACTTGCACCAACTAGTTTAGGGGAGGAACCACAGGCTACAGTGGTGGACAGACCGCGTTCTCGTGGTGGTATGGAACCACCCCCAAGGCAGGAAGAAAGATGGGGATTTCAAGGAAGCAGAGAAAGGGGCTCTTTTGTTGGAAGCAGAAATTCAGACAGGTTTGTGCATTTTGCTTGCTTAACTTGATCATGTATTATCTCAAGAATCAAGATGCTTTGCTCAGGAGCTTATTTTTTAGAAAGTAGCATGGGTGAAGTTTTGGAAACCTGTGCTTTGATGGTTCATCATGTTTTAGGTTAAATGGCTGCCCTCTTATGTTATTTCTCATCATCACATGCCAAGCCAGTGATTCTGTTTCAGGATCGATGCACATTGGTAGACTGAGGTTGTAGATTAATCAATTAACCATGAGCATGATTTTGGCATAATCATCCTTCAGATATTATGGCCTGAGTTCATTGTGCCTGTGCTTTGTTTAATGTGTAGGTTTCAAAGGTGTCAACATAGTGTAATCTGCCCTTTTTAGAATGCAAATCAATCTTCTTTCTATTGTTGTGCAGTTAAACATCATGCTGTTGGGATTTCTAACCATTCTATTCTTCATCATTTTTTCTTTTCAGGCCAATGGCAAGACAGAGATGGTGAAATTGGGACAACAAGCATCTCATAGGGATACTTCTGCTTCCCAGTCCCTTTTTTGTTTGAAAAGATGGGCAAAATAAGTCGTTTTCTATTTGTCGTGTTTGTTTGGTCTAGAAGATTGTTGAGGATGGAGATAACTCCACATGAAGTTATTGGTTGTCAACTCTGTATGCCGTAGGATGTTTTACATTTCCCTTTCGCCGCCTTCCATGTCAAAACAATATCTGGCAACCTCCGATACTAACTGTTATTCATGCTTACTGAATTCCAGTTCAGCTTTTGTCACAAGTCGTTTGTTCGTGCATTGAGTAATGGAAACCTTGAATTTGCACTTCTACTAATGCTGTGTCATCCTTCTGCTCGTTTTTTAACCAGTGTCTGTATATTGAGGCAAGAAGATGTGATTCCCAGTCGTTTTTGCCTTGTAAACATCTGTCTTGCGAAGTCATGCCGTGCGCTGGGTTAGTTTCAGATGATGTGCGAATATTTTTTTTAGCGAGTTTTGTATACAAGTTCTATATGTGGGCGATTGGCTGATGGCTCATGGTTACCCAAATGGTGTGAAATACTTTGTGCTTCCCCAGATGGCCAGGCTTTTCTCATCCTCTGCTGGAAGTTGAAAGAGAAGCGTGGTCCCCAGCGCGTTCGCCTAGTCCGTTTCAGCTTATTCTCTCTCACATAACACTATTGAATCCACTGTTGAGGGCCCTTACAGTGGATTTTGGATGGTTCTGAATGATTCAATAGTGTTATGTGAGAGAGAATAAGCTGAAACAAACTGAAGCAAGCCACAAGTAGACTAGCAAATCTGGTAAATGCAGTAGTGTAGAGCTTGTTGGGTCTTGTAGGGAGCTTGAAGCTGCAGCCCTGCAAGGATCTTGAGTACACGTGGGACCACCAGCAGTGTTCTCCATTGCTTGTCTTGAATCTCATGTACTCCGATTTCGCAATTGGTTACGTTCAGAGTGTTTTGAACCAGAGACCCAGAGTAAAGCTGAACGGGCGCGTCTACAATTTGCGATCGACCGTTGCAGTTTCAGTTTCCTGGACATTTTCGATTCCCGTGTTTTGCTCTGCAACCAGCAGCCTGTTCGGATGGCTGGCTGGATCGTGGATTATTACTGCTGGCTGTTTTGGTGTGAGAGAAAAATATTGTTTCGGCTGAAAATTTACGATCGTATACGAGATCCGCCAGCCAACCGAACAGGACGCAGATCGGTGGTTGGTCATCAGCTTGCCATCCGCGTGCTCTCCTCCTACGACCCGGCCGGCCGTCGCGGCCCTCAAGCCCGCGCTGGCCACGCTGATGGTGACGTTGAGTCCCTGCGGCTGCGACCGGTTCGGGAGGCCGTATTGGAAGAGCATGACAGCGTCGAACAGATTGCTACTTGAATGGGTCACTAGCTGCATTGTGCTTTGTTGATCGAGTTCATGTTTGTGAGATGGACCAGTGCGTCTTAACCTTGTTTTCAGTTTCGCTCTTAAACTTTGTGCCAGTCAGTTTGAGGTTGCCGATTCCTCTGTAAAGAAACTGTTGCGATGGTTGAGTTGTGACTGCCGTTTGGTTGATTTGTGCAAGGATGATGGAGAACTGGAGATAATTTGTCCCCTGATTTGATTATTGAAAAAGTCTACTTAACTCCCCATTTTTCATATATGGTCTACTTCACCCCCAACTATGAAACCGTCTGTTTTACCCCTGAACTTTCCAAAACCGTCTATTTTACCCCCCGGTCGGTTTTGACAGCGGTTTGCTACAGTAACGGTGGGTTTGATACACTTCCGGTGGATTTGAATTTTCTTTTTTTTTTAAATTATTTTCGGTGAATTTTTGAAAAATCATAGTAAATCATAGAAAAATCATAAAATGAAAAATCTAATTTTATTGGACTCCACATGAGTAGATCTACACAGTGAATATATAATACGATATGCTTTAGTACAATTTTTTTTTGTAGCTTTAGATTAATTGGAAAAGCCATTTTTTTCTGTAATTAAACCCGCTGGTACTGTACAAAGCTGGCGGGAGGTTACTGTAGCAAACCCGCTGTAACTGTAGCAACCCGCTGTCAAAAACCGCCCAGGGGTAAAATATACGGTTTTGAAAAGTTCAGGGGGTAAAACAGACGGTTTCATAGTTGGGGGGTGAAGTAGACTATGTATGAAAGTTGGAGGGGTTAAGTAGACTTTTTCTTTTGATTATTACAGTATCACTTCCGAGCCATTTCTACTACGTCCTCGTGTTACAACTTACAATTACAACTGCACCGCAGCACGACGTACGGTTCACCAAAGCGCTCGCACGGTGGCGCTTGCCTGACACCGTGTATTGGCGCTCACTCGTCCTTCCTCCTCTTCTCGACGACGGCGAAGAAGGCGAGCGCGGCGACGGAGAGCGCGGAGAGCACGGCGGCGGCGACCCGGAGGGACGCGTGGACGCCCGTGTCGCCCGCGACGCGGAAGTAGTAAGCGGGCGCGGTCTGGCCGTAGCCCACGGGCGCCCCGGACGCGTCCAGCGCGTAGGCGCGCACGTGGTAGGACGCGCTGGGGACGTCGCGGGCGACCCTGTACCGGAGCGTGCGCGTGCCCGGGCCGGCGGCGGCGTACGCGTACGGCTGCGGCTGGGCGATCTCGAACTTGCACGCCTTGTCCTTGCTCAGGTCGTCGTTGGCCTTGCGCCACCCGCGGTCCTCCTGGCTCGCCGGCGCGTAGCAGAGCGTGACCTTCACCACCTTGTACCCGGCGTCCGCGCCGGCCGGCGCCGACGCGTTGAGGCGCCATGTCACGGTGATCGTGTCCTCGCCGGCGTACAGGACTGTGAATTTGACAGGAATGCCAGCATGGATGTTTGAATTTGTCCATCACATCAAGAGTCTGCGCTCTCCCACGTTTGCGTGCATTTTCTATTTGCTGCGCTAAAAACAAGCGCGTTATACATGAGACAAACTACTGTGCCAAACAAGTCAACAATATCAGGCACTAGAACAAGAATCCAAAATTCCTTGCTCTGCAATCACTGCAATGGGCTAGCTGGTACCCATTTTGTTTCTGGTCCGTCTCTTTTGTGACGAGTCTGTTGAGCTAGCAGCAGCAGAATCAAAGCTACAGACACAAATTTCCTTATTCTTGTGCTGAGAAAAACTTAAGGCCCAAATCTACTCTGTTGTAATTGCTCCTACCAGATCTGTTGATTTTCTTTTTCGAAGAGATGATGGGCTATTTGTGTGGAGAAAGTAGCCATTAGAAAGCTCCATGCACAATACTAAAAATAAACCAAACATCATATCAGTTTATCGCTGTAACCTCTACCACTAATGCGCTTCCCACAATCGGCAGCACGTAACCGTTCTTTCAGCTTTCACGTGGAACTCGCGTTCCGGCAGGAGGAGAGCTACTTGCCTACTTCGGTAGTTCCTGCTAGATGCTATAATTGCTAAGGCACCCGTGCTAGATTTTGCACCAGGTGCAATAAAATAGAAAAACATATTCTCCCTCTTTTGCATAGTGACCACAAGAATTGAAAGGAGAAGATGGATCCATATTTAAGTGCTTTGGAGCAAATTTTGCTTACCTAAGCTTTATGGCGTGTACATGTTCTAGCAATCTGTTATATATGCTAAACACTAAGGTTGCTCTAATAGTCTCTATATACAATACTCACTCCATCCTAAAATACAAGATATCCAAGAAATTTTAAGAACAAATAAAGAATCTAGCAGAAGACTAACTTGTCCTTCAGTTAGTTCCATTGTTAACTTTAATTTTCTAGTAAGGTGTAGCTTTAAAAGACATGTATACATGTCATTCATTTTGGTTACTAATTACATGACTCATTTTGAGCGAGAAGATGTCTAAAAGGTAGACACGTATAGATAAGGTTGACAATTCATAATACCTTGGAATAAATTTTAGGATGGAGAAAGTATATATATGCAATAATGCAAATAGTATCGTCGAACGACTGCGCTGCCTGTTGAGTTCAATGGAACCGAAAGAAGCGAACGATAATCCAGGTTCCGTCGTCACACGGCAGAATCGATCTCCCGAGCGCGGAAACAAGAACGCACCTTGGCCGGCCTTTGGCGACGCCTCGACGACGAGTGTCCTGCCGAGCGCGGAGAGGTGCGACTGCGCCGCCGCCGCTGGCCTCGCGAAGCAAGCGCCGACCACGACCAGCAGCAGCAACAGCGGCGGCAAAGCCGCCCCAGAACGAGCCATCATGCCAGGCGGTCTAGCGCTCTAAACAGTTGAGGCCGCTGAGAAGACGAGATGGGCCGCTAATATGTCCGCGCGTCGGTGTGCCGTGCGTTCGCGCCCGATGACTCGTGGCAAGCGGCCGGAGACTCACAAAAGGTGGCTGTCGAGTGACGACTGACCGGAGCTGGTTCTGGTTAGCGCTTGGGCGGGCGGACGGGACGACGCATGTGAAGCGGCACCAATGCAGCTGCGCCTGCACGACAGCACGAGCTTGCCTGGTCACTGATCGCGGGGTCGGGGCTGGGCTCTCTGGTCCTCGTGCTCGCGGCGAACAGTATCGTCGCCTGGCCTGCTCTTTGACGCCGAGCCAATCAAAGAGTCAGGGTCCAGAGTAACACACCGCCGACTTTTTCAACCTTCCGCTGTTGAATTCAGATGTTAGTAGCTGCTGCTCCAGTAGCTCTCGCGTAGTCAGTTCAGTGTCTGTCGGCGACAAAGACGGCTGCCTCCGGGCGTTGACGAAGATTGTACCGAGTACACACCGTCACACCGACCAGACCAGTTACGCATAGACTGTCGTCACAGGTGCGTTAGCCTGACGAATCTTACCGCCGTACTATACGTACTCCCTAAAACAATGCAATTATGGAAAAATGCCGATCAAACTAGATATATTAAATTTATAGTAAATATTATTACCATTTATATCTTTAAATAAAATTATTATAAAAATATATTGTATAACTAATCCAATGATATTTATTTTATCTCATGAATGCCAGTACTTTTTTTTAATATAATTTTAGTCAAAATTTAAACTGTTTTATTTGAACTGTATTTTTTTGAACGGAGGGAGTACTTCGTTCTTTGGCACGGGACAAAAGGTAACAGTGTGGAACTACGGATCGGGCTTCGGGCAGTGCCGCCATGGCATCATGTAGTACGACGGCTTCGAGCGCCATCCATGAGGTAGAGGTGACCGAACAAATAAAACTTTATGGACACCTGGTCAACATTGCCGTTGGATCTTGTTTCAATGAAAAGGCAAAGTTCCTGCTGTTTACATTCAGAAAATAATACGTCCATTGGAATGGTATTGTACATCCTCTGGTGTTGGACATTTTTCCAATGCTCATCCGACGGCAATCTTCCAAATTATAAATCATTTTAGTATCATTATCCGTAGTTAGTACCAAAGTTTTTAGAAAAATATAATCAGCTACACTAATAATCATGTCCTAGTTGTTGATGTAATTTTTTTTCTATAAACTTGATTAAAATTAGAAAAAAAATAACTTAGGATTTAAAACGAGGGAGTATTCATATATGCCCATATAGTGAATGTTCGGTGCTCACGGGAGCATTGGCCCTTTCGATGTAGAGATTTCTACACCCGTACCTTAAGATGATATGCATTATTTATTTGGTGCTCTCGTGTTTTTTTCTAACCGCTAAACTATCTGTTGAGAACATATTTAATGTGACTTCCTCAAACTCAACCGTACCAACAAATTTCATGTTGGCTTGGGTTGTTCTCGTCTTGTGTTAGTACCGGTTAGTACCGCTAAACTAAGACGTGTAAATAACAAGTTAACAACCATGTTAGTACCGGTTATTGATTTATCACCCAACCACTACAATCATAATTATAGCCTATAAGAGTCATTTTCTCTACAACAAGAACACAAAATACAATACAATACAATACAATACAATACAATACAATACAATACAATACAATACAATACAATATAATATAATACAATACAATACAATACAATACAATACAATACAATATAATATAATATACAATACAATATAATATAATATAATATAGTGGGGAAACCCCATATTAGATGCATTATGTGTCCCATTAATCCGATTGCTCCTATGTATAGCGGGGATTAACCATTTGATAACAGTACGTCTACAATGACCTAGAGATTGATGACCATAGTTTTTAAGGCGGTAAGACGAAGTGTAACGACCTATATCCTTTTTCTTAGAATGACTAGGCGTTCATAAGACAAGGTGAGGCAATACCATAACAACATGTGAAGCAGCAAAATAGCAACAAGGAGGGCGAAAAAAAAAAAAAAGGAGAGGTGAGGAGGGAAAAAAATTCCGGTGGAGACAGCATGCACAACGCGTCCATGCATACCACCTCTAGATTTGTGTCGCGTGAAACAAATCGCACGACGCTGCTTGTTGGCCGGGAGACGAGGGAGTTGTGCTTTCGTGCAAGCCATTAGGCATCGTGTGGGAGAGTTGCGAGCCAAGCGAGTGGTGTTCGTCGAGATTATTTTTGGCGTCCACGTGGCGAGAATCTGTAGGCCGCATGCACGGACGCCCAATGCATGCTGTCTCCACCGGATTTTTTTCCGGTGAGGAAGGAAGAAAGTCTGGCCCAGCCCACCAGCCAACCAACACTACTTCGCCCCTTCATCAATTCACCGGATGTTGCCCTCCCTTATCCATCCACAGTGTCATCCCTGCACTCTCTCTCTCCCCCCCCTTCATCGCCCTTATCCATCCATCACGATGAAACCTCATGTGTCCTTCCATATCTATCTATGATGCATCTATATCTACATGCCATCACTCCACACATCACACTCCTCCTTTTTGCTCCTTGCCTTGCTACCCATTGGAGTTGGCGAGGATGGAGGACCTAGCAGCTTCTTGGCCTCGCTGATAAAAATGAGAAGTATCTATTTGGATCTATTGGCGGATAATAGTTAGATATATCGCTAATAGGTCACAACTATTATTAGCTGTTATTAGCTATTTTGATCTAACTAGTGAAATAGTTGTTAGTTGAGTATTCAGCTAACACTAGCTAAACTATTGGCTAGACCTGTTTGGATCGAAGGAACTAATTATTAACAGCTAACTACTATCTCCTTGGTTCTAAACCAGGCCTAATTGATGTTAAGAGCCTGTTTGATTATAAGGGACTAGAGACTAGTGAGCTTACTTTAGTCCCTTCTAGTCCCTAGTTTGCTAAACATGAGGTACTTATAAGGGATTAATAGTCTCTAGTCCAGTAGCCACTTGAGGAGAGTTATTTGGGACTTCTGGCCTAAAAGGACAGCCCATGCCCCTCAACTATTGCCCTCTCACGCATCTCAAAAGCATTGAATATGGGTATCTTGATCATTGTTAAGCAGCTTTAATGGCCTTTAGTCCATTTTACCTTGAACCAAACAGGGTAGATGACTATAGTTTAGTCCCTGCTTTAGTCTCTAGTCTCTTAAACCAAACAGGCCCTAACATCTGGAAGAGAATCTTGATTAGAGCTGATACCAAAGCTGTCCCTATTTATGCCATGTTTTCATTTACCGAGGTTTTAGGACCAAATTGGCTCCATCATCATTTTTCCCTATTGGTGGGCACAAAAAGAAAAACCACAAGGTGTATTGATTTTTCAATTTGGCTACGTTGGCTTGGAAGTGATTGAGACTTTTGGTCGACCAAAGTTGCTTTTTGCACAAGTCCAACATGCTAAATTCCCTCGTGGACGATTATTTGTGCATAGTAAATTTTAATTGTGCTAATTTTAAATTTTAATTTTGCACAAGTCCATCACGGAGAAGGAGAACGGATTCCGCTTTGCGAAATTTTCCATCCCGGCCCAACATAATTGAAGCCAGGCCAGTTAAGGCCCATACCACGGGACCAACTTACACACGTGGCCCTACGAAGTACGAAGACATAGAAATCCTCGTCATCCTTGAGCAGACCACGCCGCCACCGCCCACCGCAGGCCGCACGTCTTGCTGCTCCTGCCCGGTCATTGCTCTTTCCGAGTTCCGACCGCCCGAGCCCGAAGCCAAACCACGCCTTAAACCCCGTCAATCCGAGATCCGACGGCCCAGATCTCTCGTCTCCCTCTGCCCGTCCGTTCCCCATCTTCCCGCCCTCTCGCCATGTCACCGCCGGCGGCCGGCGCGGCCGCCACCTCCGGCGACGGGCCGCCGCCGTCGCCGCGCGAGCTCTACACCATCCCGGCATCATCCGGTAAGAATTTTCTCTCTCTCGACGCGCCCTTCTTCCCCGTCGTGCTCCTCCTAGGGTTACAGGGGTGACCCCCCGCTGAGCCGGCCGCCTGACCGAATTCCGTGTCTGCTTCCGCCACCCCACAGGTTGGTTCCGGTGGGACGGGATCCACGAGACGGAGCGGCGGGCGCTGCCGGAGTTCTTCGGCGGGGCAGGCGGCGCTGGGTTCGGGACGGCGACGCGGAACCCGCGGATCTACCGCGAGTACCGCGACTTCATCATCGCCAAGTACCGGGAGGACCCGGCGCGCCGCCTCACTTTCACCGAGGTCCGCAGGGCGCTTGTCGGGGACGTCACGCTTCTCCGGAAGGTCTTCGCCTTCCTCGACTCCTCTGGCCTCATCAACTTCTCGGCCTCCTCCTCGTCCTCGGGCCCCGCTTCGCGGAAGCAGGAGGTGGGGGTCGTCGTGGAGGCGCCCGTGGGTCTGCAGGTGACACCGCGGCCGCCAGCGTCCTACTTTGCCGAGGAGAAGCGTGGGGCGGCGAGCGGGGAGAAGGAGAACGGATTCCGGTTGCCGCCACTGACCTCATACAGCGATGTGTTTGGGGAATGGGCGCCTGGGAAGGCGCGTATATGTGGTTTTTGCGGTGAGGAGTGCAATGGTGCGAAAGTTGAGACGCTGCAGGTACTATTAAAGCTCCAAAAAACTGTCTGAGGATTTTTTCCATGATTGTTGTTTTTTAGTAGATTTTGGGTTTAGGACTCTGAAGTGCTAAAACCTAGAAGGTAGAATGTGGAATATGCAGTGCCAAAAGCTACAGCTCAGATCAAAGCAACTCATACTGTCTCAGGTATAGGTTCATGGACGTTTCAAACATGCTTGAGAAACACTGCAAACTTGTGAAGGTCGTTTTGAACCAATATATCCATTTTTGTTAAAACAGGTAACCTAAAATGAAAGAGGGGGCAAATGATAACTGTGGTGCTACTGTATATTATTAAGTTGATAGGGATGCTATGTAAAT